TAATTAATTTTAGTGAGCAAATATTGGAGTAACTTGAGACTAGAATAATATATATTAGTTAGTTTTATTATTACCAGAATAAAAATAAATGGATAAATGTAATATTAGGATAATATATATTATAATCATTATGAAATTGATTGCTATTATATACTGTTATTAGTATGGAGTGTTATTTTTTATTTTATAACTATTACTATATTAGTATTGGTAAATATATTTTTAAAAATATTGCAAAACCGGTTAAATCCGGTTCAAATCAGAATAATTCTGTTTTAAACCAGAATCGGAAACCGGTTTCCCAAATTTTCATAACCGAAAACCGGGCCGGATATCATTCCGGTTCGATCCGGTTCCGATTTTTTCGGTCCGGTTCGATCCAGTTTTCCAGTTTAAACCGGATAGTGCACACCCCTAGTTCTACTGTACCCTTGTTTTCTTATGAGGTTCATGAAGATCACATGATTCCTGCTTGGTTTCTAGAATTTAAGAACTCTCGCCATCCAATAACATTTGTTGAGGGAAGCTGGATACTTTGATGATTAGCACACTATTGTAGTGTTTGCTATTTGAGAGCCTATGAGGAAACCCAATCTTTTCTATGCACTATTGTTTTATTTTTATTACTTTCATAAAATCCATAAAATAACCATGTACCCATCTGAAACTACTTAAAAGACCACCATGGAAGCTCAATAAATAACATTTTGCTCATATTTCATCCAAGGTTTTGAATGCAAGGGAGGATTTTTCAAGTCACTTAGTAACTCCTAGTTCGAGATCAACCCAATGTTGGTCTATTAGAGACTATTGATTTGGCTAGGATATGATGACAAACGAATAAATTAATTGCCCTTTCCCGTCCGAAGTTTATTGCCCAATTTGGACCTGCGATAAACAATGTAATAACATTGAAGGTTATATTACATAGTGAGAGTCTAAAACCATGTCCTATGATGGGAGGGCAGAGCTTATTATGGTAGTGGAGCAATGTGTACACCTCACTTCTATTAATTGTGAACCTTATCTATGCCAATCATTATTACAGGAAGCGTTAAAAAATTAATTGATGTTATCATCGATTTGTAATCTTCAATTTAGCGTCAAATTCTATTATTATCAAATCGATGATAACAATCAAACAGCCATTTGTTTGTTTGTTGCTGGTTGTTTAAAATATTTTGATTGGCTGGTTATGTTAACTGGTTATTAATAAGTGTTTGATAAAATTAACAATTATAAAATAAAAATAGGGGTATCCTCTATACCCGATCGATACCAAACTCTATCACCTTCAAACACCTATAAATACATTCATTCTCCTTTCCAATAAAATAACCAATTCACATATACTCTCAGCTCAGTTTAGTTAAGTGTTTTCTTTATATTTTCTAGTATGTGTAGTCTGCAAATGAGGAACTAAATTCTTCCATCTTAGTTTTGCTGCGTTGAAACTTAATGAATTGTAAGTTGTGAGTTATTTTCTTTAATCTTCTTCCTTGAATATTAATTAATTCTTATTCATATTTCATATTAATATTTTGAGCATTACTTAAAGGATAACTAGTTTTGTTTCTGTGGATCGTTGCGCTTACCGCTACACTAAAAGCAATCGCTGATAGTGTAGCACGCTCCTCCCCCTTTATAGCACAAGCGAAGCGCCACGCGGTTCGATTGCACCGGCAGGCTGGCAGATTGCTGGCACCGCATACCCGCGGCCCAACAATCTCCCCCCCAGCACCTGCCAGGCTGCCAGGCTCAACTGCGCAGCATGCTGTTGCCGGGGGTCGAACCCGTGACCTTGCCTCTGATACCACTTGTGGATCGTTGCGCTTACCGTTACACTAAAAGTAATCGCTGATAGTGTAGCGCGCTCCTCCCTCTTTATAGCACAAGCGAAGCGCCACGCGGTTCGATTGCACCGGCAGGCTGGCAGATTGCTGGCACCGCATACCCGCGGCCCAACAGTTTCATATATTAATTATTACTAGAATTGATCAACGAATACGCTTGTTAATCGTCGGGTCCTTTCACGGTAATAAACTTGGATTATTAATGCATGCGTCTCATGATTAATAATCTAAGGGGAATTAATTATATTGATTAAACCAATAAACTGCTTGTGTTGAGGTTTTCAATCTCAATAACATAACCTTTTACCTTACCCCCACCCACCCTTAAACCCTACCCAGCCATACCCCTTACTCCACTTGCACCCCAACCCGTCCTCGTACATGTACCCCTTACTTCCTACAGAGACCCTCGTATTCATACCGCTTGCCCCTACCTCAACCCCCCATACCCCCGCCCTAACCCTTACCCCTATCCTAACACCCTAACCTCTAACCCGCTTTCCCGTTTCTAAAAAGTGCTTAACGACCTAAATCAGACTACTGATTTGGAAGTTATGGTCAAAACAGTGAAAACGTTTGCAAATGGAAAGGTTTGCAGGTGGTGCTTTTCAGGTGGAGGGTTCTTGAGACTTGGAGGTTTGTTACCGGGTGATAATGAAGTAGGTTTTCGAGGATGGGGTTTTAGAGGGTGGGTTTTAAGAGGAGGAGGTTTTTTTTACGGGGGAGGGGGGCCATTTGCTAGGGTTAGTTTTTCAAGAAATTATGGAGGGTGGGTTTGCGGGGGAGGAACTTTTCGAGGGGGATTTGAGAGGGTTGGTTTTTGGGAGTTTTTCGAGGGTGGATTATTTGGGGTGGATTCAAATGGGTTTCCGTGTGGGGAAGGTTTTCACTGCGTGTAACTTTTCAAGGGTGAGTATGCAGGGGGTTTTCGGGTGATAGAGAAGGCCATTTAGGGGGGCTCGATAAAACTGCAATTGAAGCTTCAATTTAATGATACGACATCCGTCTCAAAGGAGGGTCATATTGATTTTTCTTGATAAATAATGAAAATTTTAGGCAAGTAATTAGAAGCAACCACATACCAACTTCCCGCTTTTAGCATTAAGATGATATTTTTAAGTAAAAGCTAATTGAAAACACTAATTTTAACTTTTTTTAAAATTAGATGTTGAGAAGCTTTTTTAATCCCTTACAAACACCACAAGATAGTGTAACTATCCGTAAGAAAAAGTAAATGACCAACCAAGCTTGTAACTATATGTTGGAAAATTTATGACCCATATTCATTTGTCTGAGGCGGCATGAAAAGTACTATCCGTATAATAGTGTAATCACAAGGACTAATGTGTAATTACTCTAAATATCATTATTATAAATACAATGCTAGGGCTACGTGATGGGTAAGCCATTCTCTCATTACTATTTTATCACATGGTATCATAAGCCTAGGCTTTTCCAACCCTAGCACTCTACATGTCGACCGACGATGATACTCACACGGCGTAGCCAACATCCGCCGTTCAACAACCAATCGCCAGCGTGGGATCTCGAGCAGCGACAGAATTTCAGGCGCCCAACCGGACGGAGCAGCCTTCATCTTCCGGCGTGATTCTCTCCCTGCAAATTGTTGCCTCGCGGCTCACCTTGCCACCGCCGTCATCGTTGGGATCCTCGCCTTTTTAACATGTCGGAGCCCTTTTCATGGATACCTACAGCCCCACATCCGGCGGTTCCCCAGCCCACTGCAGCGGCGTCTCCAGCACCACTCGCCCCCAATTCAATGCCCTGTGCTGGTCCGGCGTTCTCCGGACAACCCGACCTCTCACCGTTTGAGGTTCCTTCACAATAACAGCAGTCGGGGTCTATGGTAACATTATCTACCTTGTCAAATCAGTTATCTTTTTCTACGCCCAATGTTACAAATATTGTTACCACCCGATTGGATAAGGTTGAAAATTATTTACCGTAGCGTACACAGTTTGAATCTTTTTTAGTCTCTCATGATTTATTGGGTATAGTTGATGGCTCTATTCCTGCACTGCCACAATTAATTTTTGATAACTTTACAAAAGAGGTTCCCAATCCTGAGTATCACTCTTGGCTTAAAATAGATTAAACTGTACGTTCATGGATATTTGTTACGCTTTCCCGGAATATTTTAGTTGAGGTGCATACTATTCATGTTTCTGCCTTGATTTGGGAACGTTTGGAGACTAGATTTATGGCGGCTTGGGTGGCTCGTTCTATCGAATTAAAGAGGCTGTTAACTTCTTTAAAGAAAAAGGAGGACCAATACATGGAGGATTACTTACATGAAATAATTGTTTTTACATGATGTTAAGGATTGCTTTAATTTGGCAGGCAGCTATGGCTAATGAATTTTATGCTCTCATTACTAATCATACTTGGGATTTAGTACCTTGTGACTGAACTAAAAATGTGGTTGATTGTAAATGGATATACAATACTAAATATCTTTCTGATGGGTCAGTTGAGCGCCATAAGGCATGTTTAGTAGCTCAAGGGTTTAACCAATAGGCTGGAGTGAATTTCTCTAAAACATTCAATCCGGTAGTCAAATCCACCACTGTTCGTTTTGTTCTTTCTGTGACTATTTCTTTAAGCTGACCGATTCGGCAATTAGATGTGAAAAATGCCTTTCTTTATGTTCATCTAACTGAAGAAATCTATATACGCTAACCGCGAGGTTCCATTCATCCTAATTTTCCATCTCATATTTATCGTCTTCCCAAAGCTCTATACGGGTTGAAACAAGCTCCCTGTGATTGGTTTCACCATTTTAGTGGATTCTTACTTTTCCATGGTTTTATCACACTGTACACCACAAACACAGAAAAGTGTACCTTTCCTCGTTGCATGTCTTAGCCCTCATCTCTTTTTTGGGAAAAGGAAAGGAAAGAGCATTTCATGAATGAAAGGTAGAGATGATGAAATAATGGTTACTACACTGTGCCAGCCAAACCACAAAACTCCATTACTGTCTAGTCTACTCCTGCCGTACAACAAATGGCAGCAGCCCTTAACCGCGGTCAGACAAAAGCCTATCTAATAACTTGAGTTCGAAGTGACAGAAAGCTAACCCTGCCCGCCCAGACCTGCCCTACCCTACCCCAGCCCTAGCTAGCTCCCCAGCCATGGAGATTTAGTTTAATCATTACATGGGTAGAATCTTTTTTGAGTCACGATAAATCTTCTTGATCGTTTGACGAATGTCAACCATGCATATTGAATACCCACCTACATTATTTCCATCAAAAGTCTCCGTGATCGCCGCCGCCGTCACTGTCGTAGCCGTCACCGGCGGATGGTGCGGCCGCCTCTCCATCATTACTACTGTTGTTGTCGGGCCCGTCTAGGGAAAGACATTGAAGATTGACGTCTGGAGAGATGGTGAGTGGGGAGGGAGGGTCCACCCCACAGCCAAAGATTGGCACCGGAGTGGTTAACGCCCGCCCATCCCGCGGCGGCGAGAATACCACCGGCATGTATTCTTCCGCGTCGCACGGGAACCTTGAGGTCTTGAAGTGCTCCGTCAATTCTTCTAATCCCTATTCATTTTAGACAAGGAGAATGTAGCAGTTTAATTATTTAAATCTAAATTACAAATGATAAAGTGATGTGGTTCAATCAAATGAATTGTAGGTACGATACCCCATTTTTTAGAAAGGTACCGGAGTTGTCACCTTCATTTTATTACCGTTATTATTATACAACACCCAATAAATCCAATAATAATAACAATCCGTAATAACAGAGAAATTAGAGGCAACCAAAATATAGTATGTCAAAGTAGTATGCACTACCTCCGTCCCTTAAAACTTTATCAAAAATGACCGTCACGAAGAATAATAAAATAAAAATTGTGTGGTTGAGATTTGTGCCGAGCAGAGAGAAATAACAAAAATCACAAAATAATTGTTTAAAAGGGAAAGTGATAAAGTTTTTTGAGACATCACAAAAAGAAAAGAAGATAAATTTTAAGGGATAGAGGGAGTATAATAGTTCCACTGGTATAATTTGTTGTACTGTACGTGGACCAATAATATTGTAGCACATAGAAAATAATTAAAATATAGGAAGTATATGAATTTTAATGTTCATATGACATTGTTTTATTTGCCTAGGTAAGGAAATGTACCGCACGTGCAAAATTTAGAGATGCACCATGTAATTTTCCATCAAATTAATTGTCTCAAAAAGCATTTACCGTACCCTACAGTATTATGGTTACAATACCGCTACAATATAAAAATTTTCTTGTTTTTCACAAAATCTACCGTAATTACCCTAAATTACATAAAACGGACAACTCATTAGACAAGGAGGGAGTTCACAGTACGTAGTATAAGAAAATTACAACGAATAATTAGGATTTTTTCACTTGAACAGTCTTTGACCAGCCAGACCAGACTTAAATAAAGCAGACCACGCTAGACTTAAACAGACTAGACCAAAATAGACCCAGACTTGAACTAATTAGACCACACTTAACTTCTGTAGCTATAAAATATACAGAGATCAGACATTTACCAGACCAGAACAAACTCGTTCAGACCAGACCAGACCAATCAAGCAAATTAACGTTAACGTAAAAACATCCTCAAAACATCCTCGGTACACAACGACCATATATGGAAAACTATTACTCCGTATAATAAAAGTAACTTGAATCCGCTAGCAGAATATACAATGACAAAATATTAGATTAAATAAAGGTGATGGGCAAAATATGTAATCACAAAATTTTTTTACTTAAAAATAAACAATATGGTCGACAAAATCAACCAAACAAACGAAACAATATACGGAGCAGTTTTCAAACTAAATAAGTAAAATAATAATAAGAGCAAAACAATATAATGCCTTCATTTCAAATTGGTTGCAAAAATTGACTTTGTTAGATCAAACAAATTCATTATAATAAGATACTACGGAGTATTAATTCTTAACTTAATTTTAATTTGGCTTTTATAACTCTACAAATATTTAATGTAATTTCTAAATATGTAAAGTTTAAATATTAAAATTGAATTAATTATAAATAAGGAAGATTTAATTTTAACTTTAATTGACAAAAAATTATTGACTTTGCAAAAAAATACGGAGTAGTTGAAGGGAGGAGAGAGTAATCAAAACGTTTGTGAGAGAAATAGTACACGTACTAGACAATGTTGAAGGGGATTTGTTAATTTATGAAAACCAGAAAAAGAATTTATGCACTTCATCTAGATTAAGATTTCTATTTAGATCACTATAATTAGTCACATTTACCCACTCTTAATTTAAGTGAATGATGTTTTTATGTTTTGTGCTTCTACAATGATAAAATAACTTGTTTAAATCAGGTATATAGTCATTATCTTAAAGTTTGGATCAATGTAACATTTACGGAGTATTTTATAGGATAACACACTGGTTTGTTCTTCTAACAATAATCTACTGTAAAAATAACAAAAATGATGTTTGTTCTTCTAGGATAACACACTGGTTTGTTCTTCCAACAATAATAATCTACTACTCGGTATAAAAATAACAAAAATGGTGTTTGTACCCACTCAATCTTATACCTTCTTTTATACCCACCCATGTTTGTGAATTTTTTTTTGTTTGTGAGTTCGATTTACGGACAATATTTTGTTGGTGCAAAATTTGCACAAACAAAATACGAGTAACACCTGTGAACCCGATTCACAAACAAAAAAACTTCACAAACATATGTGGGTATAAGGTGTCTATGATCCGTGTGTTACCTGTATTCTGGCATAGGTGACATGGCAGATTTTCCTGGAGTTGAAAGCTTCCCAAGTTTGCAAGTGAAAAGCCTTGTGAAGTCTCCTCACTGCTTCTGGCGAGGTCATATTCACAAAACCATATCCCACGTTGCACTTGTTTCTGTTTTCATATGTATTTTCAACAAATACGAAAAATCCTAATCAGAAAATAAAATGCAACAAAAAACCACGGATATTTCCTTTTTAACATCCCAATTCATAACAACTGATGCACCAAAAATAATATTAATTCAACAATTACTAAGCATCATTTATTTTTACACATTAAAATGTATACGTATAGAGTAGTACTTTATAATAGTACTAAAACTGATCCATTTTAAGTGATCAAGGTAGAAAGAAAGAAAGAGTGAATGAATAAATAAATCAGCCAACACTTAATTTTTTTATTCAAAAATTATTTCAGTACAAATAAATATGGATTTAAATGAAATAAGCTGCAACTACATAGTTTATGAACAATTAAAATAATGTGACAACCCCGGTACCCATTTAAAAAATGGGGTACACACTTGATTGGTTCAAATCATTACATCATTTTTAATTTAGATTTAAATAATTCAACTACATCATTCTTATGGGTCCTTGTGGACAAAGGTATGCTACCTTAAGGGTAGCATAGAATCTACCTTAAAATAAACTACACTTTGATGATTGCCAACAAATTAAAGTTCCAATTCATTTAAAAAACAATCAAAGCATTGCAGATATCAAATAAGAAAGAGGAAAGAAACCCACATGAAATCGATGGGGAGGTATACAAAATCATAGGAGGAATAAGAGTGGTGGACGGTGGCGCCGTCATTGCCGCCGGCAGCATAAATCCGATCGTTACAGTTGATGCAGTGGTTGTCCAGCATATTTAGCAGCAGCTTCTGACTGCACCCCATAAATAAATATAAATATATTTCGTCAAATTAAAATCTCACCAACTAATACAACTAAATAAATTGATATCATATTATTATAATTTTATAATAATTTTATATTATTCATATTATATTAATACTAATCGAACCTGTACTTGTTGGGAATGTTCCTTATCATAACAGTTGTTCTCTCATCTCTACAATCCGCCGATTCTTCCATTATTTCATCTTCAGCTATCACGAAACGAGGATCATAATCATCTTTTCCCCCAGAATTTTTTTTATAATTATTCCACCATTTCGTTTCTTTCCCGCTTTTTCCCCGTGGTTTCGACGATGACTCGTTCCCGCCGTTTTTCCCGATCTTCTTGGACTTGCCATTGCTCTTTTTACTAGTTTTACTCCGACCGCCGTCAACGCTGGATGATTCTTGCAACCGAGGGGGCACGACGGTCGTGGTGGGAGACGGTGGCGAGAGGGCCGAGGATTTGGGTTTCGGGGATCTTCTGCCGCTGAACCCGCCGGGACGGCTGAACTCGATCTGTAACGGCCGGCCGTTGATTTCCTTGCCATTCATCTCAATTAATGCATTTGCTGCTTCTCTTATGTCATAGAATTCAATGAATCTTTGTTGTCTCTTCGTTGGCGTCTCCCTTACTTCCTTCACTTCTCCTGTATGATTTACATTATTAATTAAATAATTATTGTTATGATGAACTAAATTAATTATTCATACGCAAAAAAGTTGGGAATCTGATCCGATGCATTGTATTATCATCCAGACCGTTTTCAACCACTTCGAATATAATGTAAAAAAGAAAAATTCATTCACGTTCTTATACACTTCCGTGTTTGTGAGAATTTTTTGTTGTCCGTAGACACTAGGTGTACTCGTGTGTATAAGAACGTGTACACCAAGAATTTTTCTGAAAACATTATGGAAATTTGTTTCTTATTCTTGTTAGTAAGAAACGTTTTTAATTAAAATTTTATACTCGTATAAGCATGTCGCCATGTTAACACAATATAATAAGAGTGATGTGATTTGAAAATGGCTTCAATTATAAAATTAACTAAACCTGTGATAATAGTTAAATTCTTGATTTGACACACACATGGGAAATTATGAAAAACTTATTTTATTTAAACTTTAAAACTTACTGTCCCGAAAACAATTAACAGAATGATGCAGGTATATGAAACACAAGCTATATAGATTGGATCTCTTAGTGTAAATCAGGAATGATTTTTTTTTTGCAAATCAGGAATTATATTCCTGGGGATTATACCACGGAGTAATGATCACAATAATGAGACTAAAACGGAGCGGAGTACAATTTATTATTATGATATCATCAATTTATCTTATCTAGCAACCTATGATAGCTGAATTACAAGCTTGATTAAAAATTGAACATTCCCTGTGTCCCAATTTATTTTGAAAAGTCAATATTTTTTTGATAAAAAATTGAACATTTTTTCAATTTAATTTGAAAAGTCAACATTTTTTGGTAAAAGTCAATCCTCTCTATGCATAATTAATTCAATTTTTAATAATTGAAAATTACATATGCAAATTTTTAATAAAAGTCAAATTTGCAAATCAATTTGGGACAGACGGGGTAGCCGTAAATTAAACAAAAAAACTTAGATATGTATGCACATTGTTCGTACATTTTATATGTAACAAACTCAAAAATTGTTCCATAAAATTACTCGTGATTCTGTTTCTAATACTTGACACTACTTAGAGATGTACCAAAAAATAAATCCTAGTATTTCCCTAAGTAATTTTTTTTCTAAATATACACTTAAGGAGCCTACATAAAGATCCTGTCCAAATTGAGCGAAACTAATTTTATACCCTTATGGCCTTATTAAGGGTCAAAGACTCAAACTTAACAAAGATAGATTCTAATACCCCTATTACTAATTACGTCTCAAATCATATAAAGATTTACCCTTTTGTTTAAAGTTATTTAACTGCAATAATTTCGACGGTGGATATATGAAAAAATGTTGAGATTATTTCTAATGCATCAATTAAAAAAGAAAAGAAACATTAACAGTCATATTTGAATACCTCTTCTTACAAAATATTGGAACTTTAATGAATTAACGTTAATACAAAATTGCAACGCCAATTACAATTAACGTTAATGGCCATACTTCAATATTAAATTTCATGGAAGTTTTCTAGATAGATTTTTATTTAATTTTAGAGTTAGGTGACGAAATCTTAAAGAATTTGATAGGACATACCGAATGATCCGAAAATATCTTTGAGGTTCCGAGTAACAACGTCAGGATCCAGATTGTACAGTACTAAGGAACCCTGGTTTTTTCCTACCGGAATACTAGAGGTCACCGGGATTACGAACTGGGCCCACACCGCCCGGCCGGCGATCAGTCCGGGCCCCGGAGCGGGTTGCGGCGGTGGTAAAGCGGCAGCAGCCCCGGACTCGTAATGGCGGCGCAGGCGGTCCTGCTGCTGCATGTGCTGGTGCTGAATCTCCGCCTCCGCCCACTGCGCATGGCGGAGGTCGTAGAAATGGACGGTCAGGATCCCGTCCCGGACTCTCTCCATCTGAACGGCCCTCACGTCACCGAACACCTCCAGGTCCCGCCGAACGAGCGATTCGCTCACGTCGGGCGACACCATGCTGACGAGTAGAGTCCGGGTCGGGATTTGGCTCTGCGGCGGCAGACAAGGAGCGCAGAACGGCGGGTCCGCCGGAATCTGCGGCAGCGGGAGGGGAGGCGGGGGGTTAGGATAGTAGAAGTTGTATAAGTGAACTGGTGGGGGTAAAGGGTAATTGTACGGATTAATTGGGATGAATTCTTGAGCTGCGGGGTCGAGATTTCCCGGGAAAATGAATATGCCGCTGGTTTCTTCCATGGCAGGAAAAGTGGCTGATTTTTTGCCAGAAGTAGGTTTCCGGCGACCGCCAGGTCTCTCTTTCTCCCCGCTTTTTCTCTAGTCTCTCTTTTCCAAGTTCCAACACAGGTCCTTTTTTGGAGTGCTACCATGTAGAAATAAAGAGGCCGGGATGGTCCTTAAATGGAAATATAAAAATCCAACCGTGAGTTGACACTTGAATTGCTTTGGTTCTTACGAGAAAAGAGAAATTGCTTAGCAAGGTATACTTACAAATAACATTTCTTTCTTCTCCCTCAAAAATTTGCTAAATTAAACTCACTTTTCTTGGATAACAATATTTAATTTTAATGAATACAGAGTATTATTTTGTATTATGAAATTATTTTAAATACAAAAATTTAAATAAACGCTTGTGCTCCCCGCGCCACCAAGATGGCTTTGGGCACCAATTTTTTGACAAGTATGTCCCTAGTCAAGTATTCGCACGCCACTTCTAAATTCTAATGGTGTTAGGCGGCAATTTAACCTGACCCGATGGATATCTGCTCCGAATCGAACTGGTCAAACTGCGGAAAACCGCTTTGACTAGGTAACGAGTACGGGGTGAGGAATACCCTATTTATGTAAACGAGTAATGGGCCGGTTATGGGTTTATACATATCCGTCCCGTTACCCGCCCCGTTTAATTTGGATAGGGTTACCCGCACCATTACCCGACCCGCACAATTAACTTACATATTTTAATAGTTTATGTATTTATTATTTAATATATTAAGTATATATGAATAGTAATGCATTAGTATATGACACTTATTCCCTCTAATTTTTTGAAAAATATTCAACTAATAGGCTATCCTTTGCAATTTTGAGGAGTTGGTGCTCAAAGTTCACTATTTTAGATTTTTAATTTTCAATATCATTCATCATCCTTCCTTGTTAACTTCTACAAGATTTATTTTATTCACATATTGATTATTTGATTTTCGTGATTTTCTGTACACAATTTTCACATTGTGACTCTCTTAATTTTTCATCCAATAACTTTCATAAAGCTCACATATGAGTTTAAAGTCCAAATATTGGGAAACATTACTCTAGATTGCTTTAATTTATGTAATTGCTAATAATTTTGTAGAGGTGTATTGGATGATTAGATTAATTTTGATTGGTTGCTCTAATTTATATCAAGATTTAAATTTAAATTCTGAGGTTTCTAAAACAGTAACTACAAGAATACTTAAATCATAGTATTAGAAGTACATTTTTAGAAATAATTTCAAATTTATAATCAAAATAAAAGTTGTGGACAAAAATGCGACTAATAACTTTAGTACGTCATTATAATTTTATTCAAATATTATATCGTAGTGACTATAAAACTTACTCATGATAACTTATAGTCACATCTATGTCCATATTTTTTTATTAGTAATATTTTACGAAAAAAACTTCCTATTTTCATTATGTTACTTGTATGCATCACTGTTCTTAAATTTAGATGTTGAATGCCGGTGGAGTATGATTATTGAATTTTTGGAAGTTAAATGTTTTTGTGATTCATATTTAGAATTTACTATCGAGACAAGACTTAATCTTTTGATGTTGATGTGGTAAGAGATTCATAATTTTGAATCTAGACATATATAATTTGTTAATATTAGGTTTAAATGATTGTATTTTTTTGTAATGTTTTAAAAAACTTTATATGTGGTGCTGTTTAATTTTGATTTTTTTAATTTAGGTGGTCAATTATAAGTAGTTAATCATCATTTTAGAATTTATACTAATTTTGAAAAAAAAAATCTTTTAATAAAACGGTTACCCGCGAGGAAATCGTTACTCGCGGGGAAAACCATTACCCGCGGATAAAAAATACCCGACGGGTAACGGGCGGTTTCGGGGAAAAATATTATCAAACGAGACGGGTACAGGTAATGGTATACCCGACCCTGAACCACCCCGTTACCATCCCTAACCCTCACTTAAGTCACTAAGTCAAGCAATCACAAGCCACTTTTTTGACCTTATTGCTTCTTTAAAATAAAAATAGGTATTAATGTTTCCAACACTTTGTGTAACATGTTTCCAAATACACTTAAATTCCTAATATAATCAGAATTACACTTTCTAACTACCATCAAACAACTACGGAGTACTATATAAATATTTGGAACCCATTATTAATGCTTTTATAATTTTTTTAATAAAAAATAGTACTCTTGATTTTCACACTTATGAGATATTCATCTGTCTCACTGTCAGTATCTCAATTCTTTTTTGTGATGTGATTCATTAAGTTTGTCGTATACAATATTCATTAATATTTTGATAGTCATACATATACTTGATGGGATATTAGAGTACGGCCCAATATACCGGCCCAAAATATTCCTAAGGCCTAAGATCAAGGGGAAGCTCTAGGAGAATCAGTAGACCGGCCCCCAAACGAGATCCAGGCAACCAAGGAACACACCCGGTCGGCACATCCCGAACGGGATGTAATCAACACTTTGATTACATAATCATCCTCGGCTTATGACTTGACGGCTCATAACGCCGATCGGCGAGTCGCACAAGTGGCAGACTGCATTTAATGCTGGAGTATGGGATCACAAGTGGGAACATGGGTGCATCAAGTGGTATGGAAAGCAACCAATCATATTAGAGCACCTCATACCCCTCAACTACCCCCATCTAGTATAAATAGCAACATTTATTTCATTGTAAAGGGTTAGCATTTGTTTACTCACCAGCTCATATAAGCATTCTAGCTCTTGTATTAGCTTCTGGACCATAACTGCTGTTTTGGCCATTTCTGTGTAATTGTGATTACTGTGTTAATACAAACGAGGCTATTTGCTTGAGTTCACCGGTTTTTATATTTCTTTAAACACTTGTTACTGTAGCAATTATAGCATAAATCTAAGGTTGGTGTTGGGCCTTCGGGTCATTCGGGACTTAGATTCAACATTGGCGCTGTATGTGGGAAACTAACTAAAAGTTTCCAAAGCAAAAACATTGATCTAAACAAGTTACATACGTCAACATGGTCAGAATCACGTATGAACACACCCACCATACTCTCAGAGGATAGGGGGCATCTGAACCTCCAGAACTGGGGCAATAGAGAGCTGCACCAACGGAAACCAAAATCAGGGATATGACGGGGATTTCACCAATCTAATCCCTGAAGCAACAAGGAGGGATCCATGGCTGATGAGAGAGATAGTGGATGCCATGCGCCGAATGGCCGACACACATAACGCAGGATATTCCACGTACACGGGAGACACCGAGTATATATCCCCATCCTCAATCCGCAGCATGCAGTCGCTGGATGAGCATACTGAGGAGGCAGAGTCCCTCAGGGCCTCAGTCCATTCACGGATGGGGTAGGGGAACCGTAGGAGGGCACACACGCCCAGGTTCCGGGAGCATACCTCCTCACAACAAACCCCGTTCACTCCTAGGAACGGGGCACAGTTTAGGGATTGGACCCCGATGGTGAGCCTAGTGGGCCAACATTTCCAGTATGAAGAAAGGGATGGAAACTGCTTCATACAGAGACGCCACGAAGCGACCATACCCCAAACGAAAAGAATCCCAGAGAGGATCGATCCGGTAACTCCCCCCCCCGAACGGCTCAAGATGAGGCCCCGACCGCTTTACAAAGGTAGATTGACGAGCTATCTTACCCGTCAAAAGAACCAGACGCCCCCACCACCTCATGTGGGGATCACATCTCCATTTACCAGGGAGATAATGGAGGCAGAAATCCGGAGGGCCTGCAGGCCCCGGTCGAGCTGATCTACAATGGAGTCAGGGATCCTAACGCACACTTGATGAGTTACCAAGGAGGACTTATGCTTTTGGGAGCCACGGGGGAGGATATTTACAGATTATTCTTCAGTACACTCCGGGGACCTATCTAGGAGTGGTTCAGTCAGTTGCAACCAGGCTCGATCGGGAGCTTTGTTGAATTGTCTACCTTGTTCTTGGCACAGTTTGCATCGAGTGCCACCCGAAGCGGCATTTCAGTTATCTTACCAGTATCCGCCAGGGGCCTAAGGAATTTATCACCCATTTCTTAACTAGATGGAGGGATGAGACACTAACGGTCGAGAACTTGACGAATTGTACGGGAATCACATTATTCACCAATGCCTTTCAGACCGAGGAACTGTACAAAGATTTGAAGAGAAACTCGGTCACCAGTTATGCTGAGGTTCTAGAGCGGGCTCGGAAGCATGCGGTCCTTGAAGAGGAGATAATGATCAGGGACAGGGAACCACCATCTGTTACACCTATGAAATTGGCCGATCGGCTGGGGCCTGCCCCTGCGGTCGTGAACGTCCCAAAGCTAAAGCACTTTACCCCGTTTGTCCTTTCCATAGCAACTGTATTCCAAAATGAAAATGACATCATTCCTCCTCCGACAGATACAAACGCCCATATGGGGAATTATAGCACTTCTCTCTCTAGCTCTCACTTCTCTCTACGAGTTAATACTCTATCATTTGGTGCTTTCATTGAGAGCTAGAACAATTAAGTTAGCCTCCTTCGTCGCTACCAAGCACAGCTAACTCATCATGGGAAGAACTAAGTCTAACCGCAATTTCCTCGGCAAAGTCATCCCTGAGGCCTAAGAGAACCGGGAACACGAGGAGGACGCTACGGCCGACAAGGCTGCCGGCGAGAATGTCTTCCAGGAAGCCATCGACCTCACGACTGACCAGCGCAAAAAGCTCAACGGCGGTGCCCTAGATGCCCGCATCAGCTAGGACAAGAAGTGCGCAGCAAAAGGCGACAATGCCTCAGGGCAACCGGCTTCTCCGCCGTTGACCCCCAGCTCCAGGCCGCGCTCTCGGCCATCATCGCCAGCTTGGCCCAAAACCCCACTGTCCTCAGTGCACTCATGCCAAGGACGGGGAAGAACATGACCCCGCCTCCTCAACCCCAACCGTTAGCAAGGCTAGGTAACGACGAAGGGGTGGTTCCTCAGGACATGTCGTCCCACTCCCACCCTGCCTCCCCGCTTCGAGCTGAACCGCCCCAGCGTGTGGAAAAGCCTCAGCCTTCAATAGGCTATGTGACACGTGCCGTCGGCCGGCTTCGGAGACGATGGCGGGACGGATTGGTCAACGCGAGCCTGGTTCACCCAGGGAAAGCTTGGGG